ACCCAATGAGCCACGAGATCACGACCTGAGCCAAGTCGACGCTCAACCCCACTGAGCTGCTTCCGCGCCTCAAGCGTGACCACTTCTGCCACGCGTCTGAGGTTTTCAGTCCCTGCCTGGCCGCCTGACTGAAACCCTAGCTGGGACGTAGCATGGCAGGAGCGGCGGGCGAGGAGGTCCCCTCCCGTGTCAGAGTGACAGGGGAGAGTGCTGGGAGGCAGTGATGCGATTCGACGGCCTGTTAGGGACTTTTCCCAAACCTCCTCCCTTTTTCTCCTCTATCAGAAAACTGCTGGTTATAGTCTTTACTGAGCATTACAAAAATCCCCAGTTACATTTAAGGAGACAGTCCTGATGCCGTTATAGCATGCAGCAGGGCTTGGCATGTCCGGCTCAAGATGACGCCATGTCTTTCGTCAAAGCAACGATCCAGCCGGGCGCCATGCAGAGACTAGTGTGGCCTGCTTCTGGATTTGGACGCGTGCGTGTGTGAAATCTAGATAGGCCTTTTTTTTCCCCGACATGTTTGATTTTTAAATATCCAAACTTGTTGAGAAAGTAACGGCTACCTGTGGAGCCAAACCAAAGATATTTGTAGAGTCTGGTAGTTTGAGTGCCTTTTCCTGGAGCCTGACTGCGAATCATCTAGACCAGGAAGATCCACGGATGAGTCGATGCCTCCGCAGATGAAGTGTTCACATGGTCTAGACTTATCATTGGGTGGATCACTTGGAGCTCAGCTTTCACGAGTCACATTTCAGCTTGGTTCCTATTAAATGTCTGAGAACTCACAGAGTCACACGGAGAGGTTACTAAACAAGAAAAACAACTTTTTGGAAGTTAAAAAACACACAAAGTTCAGAAAGAGCATGTGTCTTGATATTGGTTCTAAACAGAATCAACGGAGGCGCTGCGTGGCTCAGTCAACTGAGCATCACCTGATAATCCAGGTCATGATCCTGTGCTGCGGGATCAAACCCCGCTGGGATTTCTACTCCTCCCCTCTCTTCCCTCCTCTCCCTTTCCCTCCCTTCTCCTCTCTCTCCTCTCCTCCTCCCCTTTCCCCTGCTTAGAGCTTCCTTTCTTTTCTAAAAGTAAAAGATAACAATAAAGAATCTTTGGCCACTGTAGTGGTTCCACTGTAATTTGCACGTAGCTGTGCTTATGGTGTTATGTTTGTGTAATTGAGATGTTGCCCACTCTCTTCTGAAAAGTCCTGATTTATCTTTTTTTTTAAGGCTTTAGAGTGGCTTTGGGTTCACAGTAAAATCAGAAGGTACACAGACATCCCATCTGTCCCCTGCCCCCACACACGCACGGCCTCGCCCGTCATCCGCATCCCCCACCCGAGCAGTGCCATTGTTACAGCCCGTGGACCCTCACCGACACATCATAATCCCCCAGGGTCCGTAGTTGATATTAGGGCATACCCTTGGTGGCGTACGTGCTGTGGGTGTGGACAGATGTGTAATGACACGTATCTGTCGTCATCGGTTTGTTTTTGACGTTGTGTGTGAAGACAGACGAGAAACTGTAAGGTCGTCCTTTTGTGTTTGTAGCGAGAAACCACGGTGCTTGGAGTAAGACGGAAACCCAGAAGCTAATCAAGGCTGTGGAAGAAGTGATTCTAAAGAAAATGTCTCCCCACGAGTTACAGGAGATGGATTCTAAGCTCCAAGAGAACCCCGACGGCCGCCTGTCTATTGTCAGGGAAAGTCTCTACAAGGGCATTTCTTGGGTAGAAGTAGAAGCCAAAGTAGAAACCAGAAATTGGATGCAGTGTAAAAGTAAGTGGTAAGTTTTAAGGCTTCTTAAGTGAATTTCAACAAGATACCCCCTCCCTCCCTCCCTCCGTCCCGCTTTCTCACAGACACCACACACGTCAGCAAAAGTGGGTAGATGGGTGAAGTCACGAAGAAGGTCCACGTAACCGCTGTGCGGAAAGCCTGACGTGTCAAGAACAATCGTCACCAGTCATCCGTCCCGGCCACTTCAGTATCCGTATCTGATCTGAGGTGGCGCTTAACTAACCTCGATTCCTTGCGTGACTTCCTCGTAAAGGAACGTGAGCCTTTTTAATACTGAATATTGACTTGCAGTTCCTTCACTCTGCTCCTGCTGAGTCTTTAGGAAAACCAAATAGTTCTCTCTTTGCAGCATGAGGGGAAAAAAATATGAATCTCCCCTTTGGGAGGGAAATCACAAGCACGGTGATGAGCAGGAGTTAGCCCTTTTCACAAACCTGTCAAGTTCAGCGGCTCCTCTCCTCACCAGAGCGAGGCAGCCGGGTTCATCGTGCCACTTTAGACACGCTCATCACATAGCATTTTCAGTCCTGACCTCGCTGCACCTTCTTTGCCTGATGTGGCTTTTCCGGGCCCTGGAGAGACCCTGAGCTGGGTGGTCAGCTGCTCCGGGACTCCTTGGAGCGGTGGGCCTGCAACTCACGGCCCACACACCTCACGCGCAAAGGGAGTGCGGTCATCATCAGGTCAAGTAAGAGTGAGTTCAGACTGGGGCGCCTGGGTGGTTCGGTCAGTTGAGTGTCCGACTTCGGCTCAGGTCATGATCTTGCAGTTCCTGAGTTCGATCCCCGCCTCGGGCCCTGTGCTGACGGCTCAGAGCCTGGAGCCTACTTCTGATTCTGTGTGTCTCTCTCTCTGTCCCTCCGCTGCTCACGCTCTATCTCTCTCTGTCTCAAAAATAAATAAAACATTAAAAAAAATTTTGGAAATTACCACGAAAAAGAATTAAAAAAAAAGAGTTCGGAGTAGGCATGTTTTCTACTAAGAGCAGATTCCTAGATTATGCCATTTGTTGTTCCGTCCTTCAGAATTCTGTCCTAGAGTTCTCTGTTTATTTTCGTAGAAGACTACACTCAGGGGCATAAACTCCAAAGAACAGATAATGATTGGGGGACAAAACGTTTGATATGGAGGAACCAGAGCCCTTACTGCCCGTGTATTTTAGACTAAAAAAAGGAGTGTTTCGTAAGCCTCCGTTGGAGGACGATAGATCAGTGTTTAGAAAGGGAAATACCACAGAGCAGCCATGCTTCAGGATCAGAAGAATTAGGATAACATGTAGGCTTGCTTGTTTAAGAGTAAAGCAGAAGGGGCGCCTGGGTGGCGCCGTCGGTTGAGCGTCCGACTTCA